ACCCAAGAGAAACCTGACAGCATAGATTTTGTTCTTTTACTTAATCTGCCTGGAAATCTAAACATTTCATCCTCCTCCTCTTCTTTCATGACATCATTCTACCAGCATCATGTCACCAGCAGTCCTAAAAAACACAAAAGTAAAAAACACAAAAAATATGCTCCCCGCCTCCTACTCATCTTTAAAGGATACTATTGCAGGACAGAGAAACATGTAACTTTCAGAAAAAGAGAAAAAACACAGCTCCATGCAATTTTGAACCGCACTATGTTTATGGCATTATATAATCATCTTTTTCGACATGCTTTTAAATAGACTTTCAAGTTTGGATGTTAATAGCCATTCTTCTTGCCTCATAGGACCATTTAAAATTGTTCTAACAAATTCACTAACAAATTCAAATAAAGCTGGTTGTTTTCTCCTTGCTAGTCCTCCTAGCATTAATCTCCTTGAACTATAAATTGTTGTCTCATAGGCAAACAGTGATGAATAATAAGTGGAGTGATAAATAAGTATCTCATGTTCAGGAGGTCAAAATTAGCTCATACAGCAGGATTTAATGGAAGAGATGGTTATTGTAGCACAAACAGGAAAGAAATGTGCTTTCTGGAATATAATAAAATGATTCCTAATTTGTACAAAAAACCCAGAATTAATTCTCTAGTTTTGTAAAACATCGCACAATGTTAGGGATGTAATCCTAGTCTTGGTATATATATATATATATATATATATATATATATATATATATATATATATATATATATATATATATATATATATATATATATATATATAGAAATAATGTATCTGTCACTTTAAATGCTCAAGTGAGATGTGATTGGATGCTGTTGCTTTAATCAGCCATAAGAGGGATTAGGAACTACTACTGTTTGTTCCTGTATGTTCTCCTTGCTTGTTATTGGAGTTGAATACTGTATATTGGATGGTGGCTACTCTGTATGTTAGTTACCTGTCTATGTGGTGAATCGTGAGTTGAGCATCTGTAAACCAACATGTTGTATCATAGACTGTGTATATAATTCAAGACTACTTATCACTTGTTTTGAAGAATGTTTATCCTACTTTATTTTTGTTAACGCAAGTAAAGTTATCCTTGTTTTAACTTCGGCGGCTGTGATTGAGTGTGACTATTCAGCGGCACATTCCTTGCTACCTTCTGCTACTCAACTCTAGTCTCCAAAAAGATATACTTAACACACATTGCTAAGAAAATTTGTGTATATTTACATTTTATAATTAGTCATTTGTCGCCCCTCCCCCCCGGTAAAACTTAAAAGGATAAAAATAATAATTGAAGTAGAGCAAATTTTGTAACATTATCTAAAAATCCTGGTCATGCAGTATATTTTGCTCCATATCATATAATTAAGTCTGCTTTGGAACAAGCCTACGTAAGTTAAATATGCTCGATATTCATTCATTTCAATTTCTGCCCAACTCAACCAAGTGACTCTGGCTGGAGTTCAGAATATTTAAGGATGCAAAATCACAATGGTTTACACAAAGATTAAAGTATAAACAAATATATTAAGTGCAGTGGAATGTGTAAATAATAGGGGCAACCAAAGTTAAATATTCAAAATTTTCAAAGTAAAAAAGAGCCTATTCGTATACACATTCTTAATTTTGATCTCAAAGCTCCAATATCTCAATAATGATTTTAATTTTGCATCAATTCTGTGTATTTACTTTTAAAAAATTCAGTAAATAAGACATTGTGATCCCAAAGTCATTGAAAACACCACTGTCATTCGTTGATTAGGAATTATTCATAATTATACATTGGGCAGGTGTGTTCTTTTGTACAGTGAGTTCTGCAGGGATATTTGCGGCCAGATAATTACCTCTTTTTCATCTATATTTCAGAAGCACCCTGATAATTTTTATTTGCAATGTTTGTTGGATATCTTGGATAAATCTCTCTAAAAACTGGAGCTTGTTTTTCCTTGAAGACGTTTTGCTTTTGAAAGAACTTTTGAAAAAACACCTTTGGGACAACCGTGACCTAGATGACTGAGAATCTCCATAGACATTTGGGAGCGAAGCTAACACATAATGGAGAAAAATTATGGAAATCTAAGGAAAAACAACAAAAGTCCAGTTGCCCTTTGAAAAAACACCTTTGGGACAACCGTGACCTAGATGACTGAGAATCTCCATAGACATTTGGGAGCGAAGCTAACACATAATGGAGAAAAATTATGGAAATCTAAGGAAAAACAACAAAAGTCCAGTTGCCCTTTGAAAAAACACCTTTGGGACTTCACTCACAAATCATTACTGGTAGTCATTAATGCTATGAGTTAACTTTGCTTGTTTTGCCAAACATTTTTTTAATGGTCAATGACTAAAATAAAATTTTTGGTCTGTCATTTATTGTGCAGATTCAGAGGATGCAAATGAAGCTGTGGCAATAAAAACACACTCTATGCCAGTGTTTCTCAACCTTGGTGACTTTAAGTCCTATGGACTTCAACTCCCAGAGTTCCCCAGCCAGCTGGGAGTTGAAGTCCACAGGACTTAAAGTTGCCAAGATTGAGAAACTCTGCTCTATGCATTAATGCAAAATGATACTGCAGAAACTCATATCTCAAGGCTGTGCAATGGCATAAGAGCCAAGTACCCTAGTAACCAACATTTTATCTCAGATAATCTATATAGCAGGTATCCATTTAAGATTATTATTCCCATATGGTTGATGCAGTTTCTTAGAATTTCCGAGTTTTAAGAGTTTTGCACTGAGAACATAGCAACTTTTTTTTCCTATTAAATCTGCACATGGAAAAGCTGAACAAAATAGTCTATAAACTGCCACAAAATTTAAGGAGCTGCCAATAGGTGGGATGAATGCAAAGCCAGTCCTAAGTGATTTGGTGTATTAATGAATATATAATAGCAGACTAAATTTTCTTCTAAAACAGAAATCTGTAAAATTGTAATCCAATCTTGGACTTGAACAATATACTGTCCCATGTATTATTTGTATGTTAGTGACAAAGCCAGTGGTGGTATTCAGCCGGTTCGGATTAGTTCGGGCAAACTGGTAGTGGCAACCTGCCAGTGCTACACCGTCTTATTTAGCCACGTTTTCTAAGCTGCGCACATGCGTGCAAGATGCATGTATGAGCAAAGTGCATGCGTGGAAGGCCATGCACATGTGTCGAAGGTGCGGGAGTGAGCGAAGCGAGCTCACATTTTCAGTGTACAGTGAACCAGTAGTAAAATTATGTGAAACCCACTTCTGGACAAAGCTATGTTTAAATTTCATATTTGCATAGCCTTAGGTAACTACATTCCTGGGATAGGAAATAAAAACCTGCAACAAGTTTATCTCTAATGAGATGTTAACACACTCCAAACAAAATATTTGACAATTATTTTGGGAAACAGCTTGAATCGTCTGCAGAGTCTAATCCAGCAGAACCCCTGGCCCCAATCTAAAAATTTTCATACCTTGGTAATTTACAAATAAGAACAAAAGTCCCCTATGCTCAGAAAATAAATTTACCTGTTGTCACATATTTTAAGATGGAGCTTACATATTGATCAATTTTTTCTAATGACTATTGTACATATGGGTGGATGACGCTGAAATATAACTGCCAAGCTGAAGGAATTATTCAAAATTGTAGCTTAGCTTCCAACGATCTACTATACAATGAACACACTCCAATAATAATTTTGAAACCCTTTCCTTGGAAGCAGGCTTGTCAAATAAGTAAATTACACCAGATACTTATTCATTTCTCCTTCATATCAGAATATAAAAAAATGATATTTTTTTCTGTGAAAGAAAAAGGTGCGAATAAATTCTTGGGCACAGTCATAAAATACTGCACATAGATTATGCCTACCATGACATCAACAACTCCACATTATCAAGAGCTGATGCAGATGTCATTTTATGGTTCCCATATATCAAAAGCTGGTAACTGAATGAAACCTCAGTGGAATTTCCCCCTTATAGCTGCTTATCATGTCCAGCAAAAATTGTTCTAAAGTGACAACCACCAATAAAACACGAAGAATTATTTCAACCTGATGATTACTTATATAGTACTCCCCTTTATCTCCTTGATACAAAAGCAATACTGATTATATATATATATAGTTAGTCACTTTGCAATGGCTTGATTATATACTTTGGTGCCTTCCAAATAATAGGGATGTTTATTATTGGTCACCCGGCAAGCAGAAGACATGAATGAGACTTTTCTGACCCAAAGCTTTCAAAGAGACATGTAACAGTGATAATGAGGGATGGAAGGGATAGCAATTATCCTGATATGTGCTGTCAATCCAACTCTACCAGCAGCCAGAGATGCAACAAATTCTTGGCTTCCATTGCTGGCAACTTTACTTGTTGGAGTAGGCAAAAAGAAGCAAAAAGAGAGAGGAAAGTGCTTTCTCCATTTAAGCAAAATGTTTGGATGTAGGCTTTTTTTTTTTGAATTTGAGAATTAAATAATAGGAAAAGCAGTCACAGCACACTTATTAATTCAAAGAAAGAAAGACAGAAAGTCCTAAACATGCCTTTTCAAAATCTGAATTCAAAAGTCCTAAACAAGCTTGCTCCAAATTAGAACCTCCCAAATCCAGGGGCATTATCAATATTAGGTACTAATTAGGTTTTATGTTTGGGATGGGGCATATTGGGAAGCAGGAGGTGAGGATTGTAACGCTTAGTATATTATTTAGTAGAATTTACTGCAATAAGTGAAGGGTTTCTCGCCTTCTTATTATGTTAATTCACCTTCTGTTTAAATCCTGGTGCTTTTGAGCTGACATCGGGAGATATGTTTGATGTACCCTATGCCATGATCTGATCTGATCTCTCTACATAAATTCCTACAAAAAGCATTAAAATGTGATAGAGCTATATTCTTAGCAGAAGCCATTGCTACTGTCATGCTTAAGAAGATTGCCAACTGGTTATTCATCATCAGAGTCAATGGAAGAGCTGCAGCCATGTTTACCTGATGTCGTTTCTTGAGATGATCTGCGCCTTTCTCCTGTTCTTCTCCTGTCTGCTGAGTTGCTGCCATTCCATGAGGCCATGTTGGTATGTGCTTTGGTAGAACCGAATTAATCTGAAAAAGACAGACAAAATAGTCCTTATAAATGTTCCAGGATCACAAGCCCAACTTTCGCTTTCATCATTCAAACGTCTGCCTCACTTTCTCAGAAAAGCAATCCTTCCCCCCAAACACTGATCCTTAACTTCCTTAACTTAATTTTTGACACACTCATTTCAATTGTTCTCATAGATATACAGCAAAACAGCTCCTGAAAAGCAGACTGGAAATAAGAGCTGCTTAAAAAAACTTACAATGGTTTAAATTGATTTATTCATTTAGAAAATGTATATTTCCTCTTACTCGCACATGGCGATTCAAGGCAGCTTACAAGGATATAAAAACACAATATAAAAGAAATAAAAATAATAAAAGGAAAAATAATAAAATAATAATTGCTGAGACAGTGTTGGACATCTACAGACAGATAACATATACCTATATATGCAATACCCATGCCTTCAATTCTGAGATTGGCAAATTGATATCATAAATAAATATGTCAATATCTGATGAAGTTGCACAGCAATAAGAGAAACATTTATAAATAAAATTTAAGTATGAAGTAATGATTTAGTCACATACTTGTACATTAGGATTTGTATAAAACATAAAACTTATTATTAAAATGTAATACTTCCAAGTCCTAACCAAGAACCTAAGAATTATTATAGTGTCTTTAAAAAGAGGTAATTCCATGCAGGGTGTTGTTTTTGTAAAATTAGAGTGTTCAGGTCTGATAAACTCAATAATTCTAGATATCGATGAAGTCTTTTATCTCTGATGGTTCCAATTATGCTTGGTGTAAAACAAAAAATTTCTTTTCCTATAAGTGCTTATTATTAAATTAAACATAGTACAATTCTTAGTTTTCTTGGCCTCTAAAGAATAGATGAGCCATGGTCCCAATTCTGATACCTGCTTTCTCCCAACTCCAGCTTAAATGTGTTGTTGTTAGTTGTGAAGTCGTGTCCAACCCATTGCAACCCGATGGACAACGTTCTTCCAGGCCTTCCTGTCCTCTACCATCCTCTGGAGTCCATTTAAGCTCACCCCTACTGCTTTGGTGACTCCATCCTGCCACCTCATTCTCTGTCGTCCCCTTCTTTTTTTGCCCTCAATCTTTCCCAGCATTAGACTCTTCTCCAGTGAGTCCTTCCTTCTCATTAGGTGGCCAAAGTATTTGACCAGCTTAAATTAGAGATGTTTATATCTGAGATGGCATGAAACCACTCATTTTTAGCCTTTCTTTCAGCAATTCCGGACTGCTTTTTAAAAGTAATGGCCATTTTGACAGAATGAGAAGTTTGGGAGTGATTTGCTTATGTGCTCAAACCCATGTAGATCTACTCAAGGTAATATGCAGCTGAAGTAAAGGTTGATATGACTAAGCAGAGAATCTGGTGCTGCTCTGAAGGGCTGGCTGACAGGCTGGTAAACAGCTACTATTGAAAGAGGAGGGAAAGAAAATGATGATATTCTGAAAGAGTATGATATATTCACTCATTCGGTGGGTATACAAGGTAATGGTTGGCTTGGTGCCCTGCTTATTTATTTCTGATTAATGCAGCCCAACAGTTCTAATCCCCTTCACAATCCCATAAATCTGCCCTGAAAAAAATCCACTTTACAATCTAATGAACTCAAGGCCCAATTTCTGACTCTTTCAGTTAAATACAGATGTTGTTAATTATTTTGGAGAGCCCCTTCTCTTGCTTATGTAAGGAATTATGAGGTTTAGATTTATCAGCTTCCGTGTCTTCCTGGGTCAACTTCTGTTTTCACTATTGTTTGTCATATGCAATGGTTCCAAGAAATCACCTTAGGCATAATTTTGATAAAGAAAGGGTTTCATGACAGAAGGAAGTTGTTGCTCTTTGCATGCAGCTACTGTAGGAGTTGGAAAGTCAGAAGAGGCAAAGGTCTGTTTTATAGTTAGTACTAAGGACCTATATGACTTGGACAAACTGATAAGCAGTTGCTTATTTCTGGCTTTGCTTACTGATGCATCTATTTACTTGGGACTCATTTTGGTTCCTCTTTCATTTCTTCTGCAAAAGAAAACTACTAGCATCGTGATGAATTAACTCTTTTCCAAGAGCCAAGGTGGCGCAGTGGTTAAATGCAGCACTGCAGGCTACTGCTAGATCAGCAGGTCAGCGGTTCAAATCTCACCGGCTCAGGGTTGACTCAGCCTTCCATCCTTCCGAGGTGGGTAAAATGAGGACCCAGATTGTTGGGGGCAATATGCTGACTCTCTGTAAACCGCTTAGAGAGGCCTGAAAGGCCTATGAAGCGGTATATAAGTCTACTGCTATTATTGCTATTCTAGTTGGAAGGAAAGAGAAGAGGTTGACCAGGAGTAAGGTGAACAAAGGCAACCCGTGTATCCTTGGGAGATGTGAAAGATCAAGTTAGGGATAAATTGTCATGGAGAGCATCTACACATGTATCTATGTGATGCCTGGGACTCAAAATGACAATACATCAGTCAATCAGTTGTCGGAGGGCCTGAATTTGCTTGTACCTTCATAGGTTTATTTTACATTTCTAACATGCATGATGAAAATATTTTTTAAACTTTTTCTATTTTAAACAGACTGTACCAAAAGAAAGCTAGAAAAAATACAACTCCAGACAAACTAAGAAACAGAAAAGAAAAAAAAACATTCCTTATAAGTATTTATAATAATAAATATACTGCTATCATATATATTACAAAATAGATCTATCATAATAACAAATATTGCAGCATCTTCTGATTAGTAAAATATACTGCCTTTTTCAAACTAGATAGATCATGTATTTGATAAACACTGCTTAGCATTTTAAGTATCACATTTCCAATTTCTCATCATGAGTCTTCTAGCTCCCCCATTTGATATACCCACAATTCCTGATGTACAGATTCCAACATTTTGGTAAATAGTTCAACTTCATATTAACATCCTTAACGTTTAGAGAGTTTCCTATAAATTTGCTTATACATATTGACACACTATTCCAAAAAAGATATCAGTTTATCCCATGACCATATCATATGGGTCGGTGAATCCTCACACATTTTATCCTGCACTTCTAAAATAGAAAATCTGATGTCCATCTTTTAAAATATATCCTTTGGAGAGTCCAATACACCCTAAATACATTTTAATGATCTATAACAATCCATGTTAACAATCAATTTATTGATGAAAGAATTTGATACTTGGAGGCATGGAAGATTTTAATATGTCCTGTGTGGATTGCTTAATACAATGTTAAGTCCCCAGGGATCCTTTACAGTAAAAGACAGGTTGACGTTAAGGTTCTTTGTGCTGCATAATCACCTAAATAGTCTTGTGGTTGTTATAATGTCATCTGGTTGTTGAGATGGTGGGTCTAGCTTTTAGATGATATCCAGGGAGTCTTGCCTTTTCCATAGGCATGTGAATATGATAAAATATCAATGCCTCTGTAAGAGTAGGGAAAAATCTAATGATTCATTTCCTTCTAATATGCCTTATTGTTAAAGGAGGTGGTAGTCTTCAAATTCTGAGATAATGTGACCCTCTAATATGATAAATCATATATGGTTGTATGGGAACTCCCCTCCCCATGAATAAAAGGCATTAATTCATTGGGCTAGGGTTTGGCAAGAAATATACTACATACAGTTTTCTAAGGAGATTCTCAGTCATCCAGGTCAGGGTTGTCCCAAAGGTGCTTTGTTCAAACTTTCCTTGTTTTTCCTCAAGGAAAATAGTAATAGAATTGTACAATTTTATAAAGGAAAACAATGATTCTCACTAACACGTATGTTTCTGCAGACATTCCAAAAACAACAGATATATTACAACACTAACACATTCACAAAGATGCTGGGGCCATGTACTTAGTTTTAAGACATCTAGTGGATTGCCAATATATGGCAATAGTTTGCCACATGATCAACCGATATCAAGTATTATTACAGAATGCAGAAATGTGAGACTGGTCCATCTCAATGGGGTCAATCCATTTCTATCCACAAATATATTAGGTTTCAATAAAATCAAATTACAAAAACCTTACCAACTTTTTTTTTGAACAGAACAGATTTTAATGCCTGAATGTAAACATTTTCTAAATCAAATAAACACGACAGTATACAAATATTCCTTTCAGATTGTCATGCTGTTATTTAAGGATCTTGACACACAGAAGACTTGCACCTCTACTAAGAAATGTAAGCAGGTGGACAACTGATTAGTATCACTCATGATCCAAGCCTGAATCCCATGCCTGAAGCATATTGTAATCCCTTCTTTAAGTTGCTTGGGACTCTGGTCAACAACTACAGTTTGAGAAACTCTGTGTAAAGAATTAACTAATATCTGCAATGGGATCTTAAATTCTAAGTAAATAAGGGATTAGTCTTAAGCCAGAACATTTTCTTCCCCTTACTTGAATAAATTTCTGAGTCCTTGAAATGTCACAATCCGTATTTTTGTTCAGAATAATTCACAGATGGATAAATGGGAAAAGACATATATCATCTTCTATGAGGGCACTCAGTAATAAATTACTGGCAGTAATGAAATAATCTGCTGAGTCTATTTTATACTTACATGACAAAATTCTTTGCCACACATAGAAAAGAATAGGAAACATCATGAGAATTAGCCCACTTACATTATGTCTAGCGCAGTGTGTGTGTGTATAAAACATTTTTTCAAATGTTATTCCTATTTCATTATTTATTTGGTAGAAAGATGTCATTGCATGTTGGCAGCTAATTTTGTACAATGATACAATTGTACAAAATCACCATGGAGACTCCAATGAGTCCTTCATACATCACTGAAATGAAAAACTAAAGCCATTAATAATGGCAACTGATAAATTACCACTGCATCAAGTTATGTCAGTGAGACCAATGTTGCCAAGGAATTTCACAGAATTCTAGATCTGTAAGTTTCCTGAAAGGTTTTATTTAAAATAATATTGGGTTGCACTGGGAAGGTAATTTGTGTAGCATGATTTACTACATTATG